TATGGGAATGTTTCTTGGCTCTTCCTTCTGGGCTTTGGCTCTACACTTAGTCATTCTCTAGAAGAGACAGCTTGCGTTTTCAATGAGTTGCTTTTTCAGCCTGTTTCTTTTTCACATAAAGTTGGATGTCCCAAGGCTTCCTTTCATTTTGAATGATCTCTGTTCTTTCTAGCCTGAGTTGGCAGTGCTTATACTGATACACTTCTTTTAACACCATTGTGGATTTTCTGTTCATTGTATTTAGGTTTACTCTATTAGATAAAAGCCAAATCCTAAAATATCCTAAGACAGTCAGCTCTCTTTCTTGGGCTAAGAATCAAGATACTCTGAGATCATGCTCTTAAAAGTCAGAGCCTTTTTGTCTAATTGAGTGTGTCTATGAAGCATACCCTTCAATCTTACATCTGCCTGCTAAGCTGAAAAAAATCTTGAAGTAATTTTTACCCAGAGGCCATATTTTAATTGGAGCGTGCTGAATTTAATCTTTTCTTTAGTCCATATTCTGCTTTGAGAATCTGAAACTGGGAGAGACTGGAGATTAGAAACAGTTTTATTTTTTAAACTAGCAATTCTTTTTTTTTTTCTTTCCATAATCCATAACGAAGGACATGTTTATTGATATTAGAGAGGGGGGACAGGAGGGAGAAAGAGAGAGAGGGAGAGGAATATTGGTGTGAGAGAGAAACATCAATGGGTTGCCTATTGCACACAACCGATGGAGACTGAACCCGAAACTCAGGCATGTGCCCTGACTGGGAATTGAAACTCCAACCTTTTGATTCATGGGATGATGCTCTAACCAACTGAGCCACATTGGCCAGGGCTGAATTGAACAATTCTTGGCTCCTTTATAGTCCCTCTGAATTCTGCTTGAAATTGAACAATTTCTTTTTTTTCTTTTTTAAATATTTAATTTATTCATTTTTAAAGAGAGGGAAAAGGAGGGAGAAAGACAGGGCAAGAAACATCAATGTGATCGGTTGCCTCTTGCATGCCCCCAGCTGGGGACCTGCCTTGCAACCCTGTTGTGCCCTGACAGAAAATTGAACCAGCAACCTTTCAGTCCGCAGGCTGAGGCTCAATTCACTGAGCCACATCAACCAGGATGAACAATTTTTTCTTTAATTCAACTCCCTTCTTGTACTTTGTCTTAGACAAATAGAAGCCAATGGTAATTTCAACATTCTGGCTGAAAATCTCCTTAGCTACATCTGTAAGATCATTAAGTATTCTTTTGGTTTTTCATTAGATGCCCTTTCCAATTTTAATATTACCTCAGGCAACACTGCTGTCAAGCTTTCTGCCACTATATAACATAGGCCACCTTTTATCCAACTGTATTATTTTGCTAGGGGTGCCATAATATGATGCCCCAAATGGGGAGATTGTAACAACAGAACTGGGTGGTTTAAACAGCAGAAAGCTATTGTCTCACAGTTCTGGAGGCTAGAAGTCCAAGACCAAGGTGTCAGTAGTGTTGGTTCCTTCTAAGAGCAGTGAGGAAGAATTTGTTTCATTCCTCTCTCCTAGCTTCTGGTGGTTTGCTAGCAATCGTAGGAGTTCCTTGGCTTAAAGACTCATCAATTGATCTCTACCTTTTACGTTCACATGTCCTTCTCCCTATGTATATGTTTTAGGTATGAATTTCCCCTTGTAAAAGGACACCAGTCATATTGAATTAGGACCCATTCTAATGACCTCATTTTAACTGGATTACCTCTATAAACACTATCTCTAAATAAGATCACATTTTGAGGTGCTGGGGTTAGGACTTAAACATATGAATTTTGGGGGGAACAGATTTCAACTCATTCCACTAACCCTAGAATAACAATCCCCTCACTGTCCTTCAAGCTTTCACTTGAGCCCATTTTTTTTCCTGCCCACTCCCTCTCCAAAGCCAACAGGGCACATATTTTTTTGTTAGCCGTATCTAACTTCACCAATATCAATATCAATTAGGGGCTTATCAGGGAAGCAGCACCATTGTGGAATGCAGATTATAGGGATTATATACATCACAACTGTAGGGAAGCCAAGGAAGAAAAGGCCAGAAAGGAGAATGAGAGAAAAGTGATTATTAACCAGGGATCACACAGAACGCTGCTGAAGACGTCTATGGAAGTCTTTATTATCTCTGCATCCAGAAATGAGCCTGAAATTGATAGGTCATCATGTCTAGCGGTCAGGAAGAAAAGCTGGATTGAACTGGGGGAGAGTGAGGACAAACTAGAATCCACAAGGACAAACTAGAACTCATGAGGACAAATGGAACCCACAGCTATTACATTGCAATGCAAGTAGTCTGCAGAAGTTGGAGTCCTTTCCCCATATATGCATTGCCCTTGCGTATATGCATATATGCATTGGGGTCTGGTTGCTGCTCTGTACCAACAATGTGTGCCAGCAGATCAGTAACAAGTTTACAGTCTGCACCTGACACCTGATATTCTCCATCAACCATCAGAGTACAAGGGTAGCTTCACTTGCTCCTTCCAAATTTTATACACATTTCTGTTGTGGCCATAGCTATCCTGGAATGGAACCAGACTGGGAAGGGAAATTTGGGAAACTAAATTCCAGCTTAGCTAAATAGACACTGTATGACACTGCCACATCAGCCAAACCTCAACAATTGCCAGATACCTTGATGCTCTGTCTCACATACGTAAGTTTTTCATCTAAGTCCTATAGTAGTTTTGTACAATAAATATTAGCTCCTCGATAAGCAAATAGCGGAGTCTGGATTCCGCCCCACATCTATGTGGTGACCAGCTCCCAAGATGGTCCCAGTGCTTTTGCCTATCGGTATTCAGGCTCTTTTGTAGTTCCCCCTCCCACATTAACTAGGTCTGTCCTCAGCACTTAGTGGAATATTGTAGGAATGATGGTGAGTGACTTTCAAGGCTGGATCATAAAAGATACAGCAGCTTCTGCCTTTCTTTTCCAGGATAACTTGCTTGGGGAGGGAGAGGGAGCCAGCTGACATACCATAGGATTACTCAAGTAGTCTGCGGGCAGACCAGTAGGGAGGATCTGAGGTTTCCTGCGAATGAGTATATTGTGGGTGAATTATCTTGGAAGTGGATTCTCCAGCACCAACCTAGCTTCCAGGTGACTATAGCCCCATATCCTGACTGAAATCTCCCAAGAGACCTGAAGCTAGAACTATGCAGCTAAGTGGCTTCTAAATTTTGGGCTCATAGAAAATATGAGATAATATTTATTATTCCTTAAAGCTGCTAAATTTTGTGGTAACTCATTACACAGAGATAATTAATATAATCTGTTAGGTGTCAAAGCACAGCTTTTTCCATGACGTCGTTCTGCTTTAAAATTGGTTTGGATTATGAGAATAGGGATTGTGGAAGAAGTAGGAGTTTGCAAGTTCAGAATGGCCTCATTATGTGATCTAAAAAAGAAAAAAAGCTTTGAAATATCAGTTTGGGCTTCCTGATACTGAGAGAGAAGGACTGTCATCTAGTGGTTAAGCTGATCCTTGACAATTAGGAAGGTTTCTTTTTTTCTGTTTCTTTCTTTCTTCTTTTCTTTCTTTCTTTCTCCCTTCCTTCCTCTCTCCCTCCCTCCCTTCCTCTGTTCCTTCCCTCTCTCTCTCTTTCACTACTCAGGGAAAGCCAAGTTGACATGAAGAAAATTAGAGGTTACATCACATGCTTTTACTACCTAGCACACTTGGGCTGGAGCTGGGGAACGAAAATAGTAGAAGCTGCATTACGGCAGGGTGAGTGGGGAACGCCAGCCCTCCTGCTTCTGCCCCTGCCTTTGACTGGGCCATCCTCTCCTCTGCCCTCCCATGTTCCCTTTGGCCCCAAGCTCACAGACGCAGGCCCTTCCTTTTCTGCTCTTTCCAAATCCCTTTTCCTTATGGTGGATGCTCTTTTCCTTTTTTATAAAGTACATATGTGTGCACTTAGGAAAACAAGAGAGGAAAAAACCCTAAACTTTATCTGAGAACCACCTCCTTTTGCAAACTCTTGATGTTTGTTCTTCTCCTCATATTGTTCAAATTTGATCTTGGATCAGAGAGGTGAGGCATTGTGCCCGGTGATCTAATCAGATGGGAATCATCCAGCAATAGTTATTATGGTAGGATGCAAGCTCTAAGAAGAACCTTTCCAGAACATCTGGTGTAACCACGTTCCTTTAATACGTGGAAAATCTGAAGCCCAGAATGCTCAAATTACTTAATGTTCCATTAACAGATATCAGTTGCACAGTTACAACGAGGAGAACCCTCTTCTGGACCTGGATAACTCTTTTAAAAGGTCCACCCACTCTGATTAGTAAGATGGGTGGAGTGATTTGCTGGGGTCGGCCCAGATTTTTATGCAAGCACAGAAACACCAGTAACAGCAGCATTACCCGGACACTTCCAAACACTTCCAAAGTTGTAAACTGACCCTCAGCATCTGAGGGCTAGAAAGTTCGCCTGACTCTCTGACTTCTAAAACCACCTTTAACGTCGTCTCTGTGCACACACTAGGCATCAAGAAACGTTTGCGAAGTGAATGAATTAACTTCCCTCAGAAGCCCTTCCCTGCCTCCCATCCCCCACCATATCCTTTCCCTCTAGGGACTGCGCTAGGTTTTCAGCTCCCGTCCGGGGACTTTTCGGGGTCTTGTCTCCTCAGAAAGTGACCTCGTTTCGGGATCAGGACCAGGGCACCCTTTTTCACTGCGGGGCGCCAGCTGGAACCGGACAGGGGGCTGACTTCGACTCTCGTATCTTTCCTTGGGATGGAGGCTCTTGTTTCAGGGGCACGCGAGCACCTATATGGCCCGAGTTGGCCTGGGGAACACTAGGGGGCTTTGGGGTGCTCTTTACAGTCCTAGCTGGGACCAAGGGCTCACCTACCGACTCCGCACTCGCTCAGCCGCCTGAGGCCCTGCTCTGGCGCCCGATGGGGGCGGGGCACGATGGGGGCGGGGCTTGATGAGGTCAGGTGACTGCGCAGGGGGTGGCGGAGGCCCTGGAGGGTTAGACTCGCCGAGAAGCTAGCTGGGCGGGCTGGGCAGTGCGGGTTGTCCGGGTTATACGGCCGCGGCTATGGGGGGCTTGAAAGACGAGCTGCTGAAGGCTATATGGCATGCCTTCACCGCACTGGACCTGGACCACAGCGGCAAGGTCTCCAAGTCCCAGCTCAAGGTGGGTACCCCCGCCCCGGCTCCCTACCCGCGCCTTCCAGGAGCGCGCTCCACGACTGGGTGGAAGCGGGACCCAGGGGAAGGCGACTGCAGTGAGGGGCGGGAGGGAGTGCTGCCCAGCGGCCTGCTCCGGGCGGAGAGGGCAGAGAGCGGGGTTCGGCAATTTTTGCTTCCCTCTTGCCCTCGGGCGGGTGCGGTGCTTTAGTCCCCTCACGGTTCCTCGGGAGCGAGGGAAAGCCTGGGCGGCGGGGGGTGGGGGGGTGTCTGTGAGCGGCTAGCCCAGCTCTCTGTTGGCGCCAGGGCCCCCACAAGTTTCAGACTCGGAGAGGACGGTGGGAAGCTCCGTTAGTGAACTTATGCAGAGTTTACTCTTTAGTCTGGGAGCGGAAGGAATTGTTCAAGAGTCACTTCTACAGCGGGACTGTCCTCAAACCGGCCAGCTGCACCCAGGGCAACCGGGCAGTTCAGAGACAGGAGAAGTGCCCCAGAACCCCGCCTCCTTCGGCCTCCTCCTCTGGGGGGCTTTGGGCGGGGAGGACGCTTTGTTACTTGTAAGGAAGAATCCCCCCACCTAGCGTCCTCAGGTCTGGAACTGCTGGAGGGTGTGCCGTGGCCCACAGGAACCGTAGTTCCGGGCTAGGAGCACTGATCTTTCTGGCACCCTGCAAAAGCCGCTGCTTCTGCAGAGCCTTGCCTGTGATTGCCAAAGATCCCATCATTAAGTGAGAGTGTAAGGTATAGATGAAGGAATGTCTGTAAATCGAGTGACCCCAAGCAGAAGAAGTGGCACTTAGCCAGGAGAAATTGGCAGCTTCTTGAACGTGTAAAATATGGAAACAGACAAGAAGAACTATTCACAGGCATTTTCAAATAAACACATTTTGGACCTGAATGTCTGGTTTCCTTAGCCTCCCCCTGGGAATTAATTTCTGAAGATTGGGTTTGTATATTTTTGCAGTAATCAAGAGGTTCTCATGAGTAATAATGGCTTTTATGCCAGTAAGATTTAGCACTCCTCTTGGGTTTCTTTTGCACTCTTCTCTTTTTCTCTTTTATAAAATCATACTCTGGAAGGGTCCACGGAAGGCATCCACTTAATCTCTATTTTATTTGTTTTTTTAGTTAACATACAGTAAACTTGACTTTTTTGGTGTATAGCTCTGAGTTTTAACACAGGTATTGGTTTGTATAACTACTATCAAAGTCAGGTTTCCCTGAGTTCTGTTATCCCCGAAATCTCCCTAATGCCACTCCTGACCCTCAGCTGTGAGCAGGGGTCTGTTCCTAATTGCTGTAGTTTTGTCTTTAGCACAGTGTCATATAAACGGAATCGTACAGTATGTAACCTTTTGACACTGGCTTCTTTTACTCAGCATAATGACTTAGAAATTCATCCATGTTGTGTGTATCAATACTTCTTTTGTTGCTAAGTAATAATATTCCATTGAACGGATGTATTGTTGTTAATCCAGTCAGCCTTGAAGAACATTTGTGTTATTTCCAGCTTCTGGTGCTCATGAATAGAGCTGCGTTTAGCTTTTTACGTTTAATCTACCTATACCATTGTTACCAGGCAGGGGGCCGGGCCCAGAGCAAGTCTGCCTCGGGCTGTCCGGTAATGTATGGGTTCTCGACTTCTTGATTTCACAACATGAGTCCAGGTGATTTTAAGAGTATGTTTATTAAAACTGGGCAAAGTGAAATGAAGGAAGAACTTAGAATAGAAGAAGCAACAGGAGAGAGCCTAGGCAGAGATGCTTTTAGCTCACTGTAAAGTCAGGGGAAAAGGGGGCCTTGGAGACAGGTTCAGAGGGTGAGCCCAGGACAAGCTGCCACTGTCTGTTGCTGTCCTGGCTGCAAGTCTCATGGGGACCCTTAGAGTTTAGGGGAAAGAGAACACAGATACAAGGTGTGGGTGTGCTCTAGTGAGAGTGTACCTTGGGTCCTTTGTATTGAGCCTTTTCTTCCTAGGGGAGGACTCGTGAGGGTCTTAATGGAATATTCATTAGTTTTCCAGGTGTGTCCTTCAATATGTTGATTCATCCAAACGAGTGCATAGAGGGGTCAGGGTTATTTTCTGGTTAGTTTTATTTTTCAAAGAATGTCATCAAAGAGAGACCTGGACTGAGGCTGATCTGCCCTGAATGGTCTGGAATGTGTAAACCACTTGCTCCTAAGTGTCCTTAGGAAAGATGAAAGCTTGTGATTCATCAGATGGCTGTAAATTGCTCAAATTGTGTGGCCTTGTTGAATTCTCTTGACTCAGTTTCCCTATTTCCACTTGTCAGGGAATTCTCCTACCTTATAACTATCCTGCCACTCCACTATATTTTAAGTGGGTTTCTTATAGATAGTGTATAGTTGGGTTTTGTTCTTAAATCTATTTGAACAATCTCTGTCTTTTATTGGTGTGTTCAGACAATTTACATTTAATGTAATTATTGATATGGTTAGATTTAGGGCTACTAAGTTTTTATTAATTCTGTTCTCTTTTTTTTGTTCCTCTGTTTTTCTTTTCCTTCTTTGAGATTATTTGAATATATTTTAGTATTCCATTTTATTTTTTATTTATTGATTTTAGAAAGAGAGAGAAAGGGGGAGAGAGAAAGGGGGGGAAGGGAAGAGAGAGAGAGAAACTTTGATCAAGTTGCCTCTTCCACACAGCTGCTACCCAAGCACGTGCCCTGATTGGGAATCCAACCAGTTGAACTGGTGACCTTTTGCTTTGCAGGACAATGGCTAACCAACTGAGCCACACTGGCTAGGGCAGTTGTTGCACTTATTTATGCACTCATTCGTTGATTCTTGGATATGCCCTGACCCAGGATTGAACCCGCAACCTTGGCGTATGGGGATGATGCTCAAACTGATTAAACTACCTGGCCAAGGGCTTAGTATTCTATTTTAATACTGAGGGTTTAACTATATTTATTTGTATAGTTTTTTAAATGATTGCTCTAGGGATTTTAATACATATACCTAACTTTTCACAGTTTATTTAGAATTGATATTTTACCACTTTAAGAGGAAGGTAGAAACCTTATTACTATATAGGTCCCTTTTACCTCCCTGGTTTATTTGGTAGTTGCCACATTGATTAACTTTTATACATTGAAAACACCAACAAACAATGTTAAAAATTTACAGCTATCATTTTTTATTTGAAAGATCTTTCAAGAATAGTATTTTTTTCTCCTAGATGCTCCCAGATTACTTTTTAATTTTATAGAGAAGATAGATGAAGCTTCTGAGATATTTGGTGACTTGCCCAAAGTCACAGTTGTAAGTAGTAGCTAAATCTAGAACCAAGATTTTCTAATCTTTGAGCCATTGTTTCTTCATTTTTTTTCTTGTCTAATTGATTGCATAAATGAGACGATTTCTATTACTTTTGTTATACTCCATTTAGAATTGTCCTTGTGGCTGCTAGTAGAAGAAGTGTTCAGATGATTCTTGACTGCAGGCTTGGCAGAAGTATTAAATCCCAGTTCATAGCTGATAATGCAACGGTGCAACTGTATTTTTATCTCTCCCTGTTTACTCAACTGAGAGACTGTGCGATTGACTCAGTTCTGTTCATTTTACCAATGTTTCTGGGATTGAAAATACTAAAAAAAAAAACCAAAACAACCCCCCCAAAAAACTTCTGTTTAGGTCTTTATCTTATTTTTACTCAGAAGTTTGATGTTTATCAATCTATTGGCTTGCCATAGGGTTTTGGCCTTAATTTGTTCATTCATTCATTTGTTCATACAACAACCTTTTATGTGTTTACGTAAGGTACCATGATAATATCATGAAAAGGTTAGTATTCGTAGGCTCTCAAGAGTTAATATCTCCTGGGAGGAAATGTCTCATACAGAACCTCCCTGCTTTATCCCTGGGTTTGCTTTCTGTAGTTTCGCTTTACATGGTTTTAGTTACCAGTGGTCAGCCATTGTCCAAAGATACTAAAGGAAAAATTCCAGAAATAAACAATTTATAAGTTTTAAGTTGCCTGCTGTTTTGAGTAGTGTGTCGAAATCTGATGCTGTGTTGTTCCTCCCCCACCCCCACTATCCAGTCCAGGGCCACCCTAGACGTGAGTTTTCTGTTTGTCCAGCATGTCCATGCTATATACACTGCAATATAGTAGCCATCTTGGTTATCAAGTCAGTTATTAAGGGAAACCACACTCATATAACTTTTATTACATTATTGTTCAAGTTCTACTTTATTATTAGTTATTGTTAATTTCTTACTGTGCCTAATTTATAAACTTTATTATGGTTATGTATGTATAAAGAAAACATAATGGAGATAGGGTTTGGCATTATTTGTGTTTTTGGCATCCACTGGGGGTCGTGGAACGCACCCTCCCATTGCAGGCACTACTGCAATTGTTCTATTAAGTAGCAGACTAAAAATTACATATCCAAAGTTAGGGTTGAAATTTATCACTTTGGAAACTATGGGCATTCTAAAATATTTTGACATTTGTCTTTTTGAATTACCTTCACAAATTTTGACAAAATGAATGGGTACATTTAATAATTATGTAATGGACATTTAATGTGTTAGATACTGTGTCCTATGCTGATGGTGAAGATGGAGGAAAAAGAAACAGGTATGAATTTTTGCCTTCAAAGTGTTTAAATTTTGGTAAGCAATAAAGAGAATGATCAACCATTAAAGATATATCTATGTAGAGAAAGAGAGACAGATATCAGACAGTTATCCTCTATTTAAAAAATACAAAGTCTGATTGTAGAGATAAATACAGAAATATTTTTGGATAAAAAATGTTGAGTGTGACAGAAGATAAGGGACTATGAGATTTTTAGATAAACAGGCAATTACTTTTTACTGAAGGGATTACTTCATGAAAAAACTTTATTTGAAATCAACTCTGAAGAAAGCTAGGATGTGATTATGTAGTAATGGGGAGGATTTAGCCCCTTCTATTCATTCATTTATTCAATGGACGTTTATTGACTGCTGTTAATTCTAAGACATCCCTGT